CTTATATTTAATTAAACTATTTACAAAGTTCTAAAATTGATATAATAACTGCACATGATATGGTTTCAACATGTTTTTTGCATATTTCATCTTTCAGAAATGAGGAACATTTTTTAACAATAAAATGTAATGCAAATGAATATTGAATCATGTGAACAGTTTTGAGGCGAAATTGACTTTGAGCAAGAACATATTAAATTTGGATATATTGAGCATTCAGCACATTAAAAACAAAAAATTAACTTAAAATATGTTATAAATACATATACTTAACTACTGGAAATACTACAATATTTATTTTGTACTACTTTTATTTTTGTATATTATGATAAAAACTTAATTCAGGTGTGAATTATTTTTGTATTGGATTAGAATTTAATGTAATATCCTTTGTGGAAATGAAAGCAGTCATTGAAAATTAAAATTAAATAAATTTACTGTAACTATAAATTTAAAAACTAAAATGGGTAATAAATATTTGTAAATCTACTAAAAATTAATTAAATATTTCTAGTAATTTTTTTAGTTGAATATCAATTTGAATGAAACAAATAAAAATAACATTATTACTTTATACCTAATCTAAAGTTAGTTTTGAATTTTATTTAATAATTATTAGTTATAACTTATGTCATTTAGTAGTTATATTGAGTGTTGGTATAAAAGTGTGATATAAATGTTTTTGTTAGTAAATATAAAACTATTAATAATCATATTTTATTGAAATATAACCCGAAAATATTATTTTAAAAAAGAGCAAGTAAATTAGTTGACTTTGGAAAGTAAATAACAGTTATTTAAAAATACTATCCCTTAAAGATGATTAAATCATAAGATGTTCTCGTCCGAATAATTTCTTAAATTTATCAATAACTTCAAATTTAGAATTAAGTGATTTTGTGTATAACTGACAATAGATCAAATTTTCTAAGGAATTTGTTGAATTCAGTGATACTTTAGAGGCTGAACATAAAATTATAGAATTTGTATCAATTTTTGATAATCTGAAAAATTTAGATTAAAAATATGATAATTATATGATTAAAAGTATTTCTTTGCCTATACAAAGAATATATTTTTTTTTTTTATTTTTTTTATTTATAAAATTTACAATCTGTAAAAAAAAAATTTTACAATAAGTAAATAGTTTAGAAAACATACATATATAAAATACTTAACATTAGTAGCCTGTGAGGTCACGAGGGAATTTTTTTCAATTTTTGAGGGTAATGTCTTCGACTACATACGATGTGTGATCTTTTGACGTATCATTTAAAGAAATCGGTTTGGTGAGTCTAAGAAATGTGGTAACAGACATAAAAAAAAATAAAAAAACACATCATCGTAAAACCATAAAACCAAGCTGATTTAATTTTTCAACTTTTAAGCTATTAAGAAAAAATAATTTATACCTTATTACTAATAACAAATAAGTTATAAAAATTTTTAAAATAAATATAAATTATAAACAATGTTAAATTTATTTTATTTAAAATTAAAAACAATTCCTGCTTTTTTTAGTAATATTTTTATTACTATTATTTAGAGCACGCAAATAACAAATTAACAAAAACAAATAAATTACCTATTGTAACTACTAAATTATAAAAAAGGAAACAAATTAAAGATAAGATTTATCAAAAAAATTTTCATAGAGTATACTCTATCGAATTTTGTAAACAACTACATTCTAATCACTGCAGATACTTGGTAGTTTGTTATCATTTTTTGGACCAGANGATACTTGGTAGTTTGTTATCATTTTTTGGCCCAGAGTTAAAAAAAATTTACCTTCAACCACGTTTGGAGTAACTGCTATTCTATTTATTATTACGTCTAGAACGTTATCTTTTTCAAAAAACGTTTTCTATGAATATAAAAGTAAAAATACAGCCATAATAATAACCGTAGTACTCAATAGTAATCACAAATTAATAATAATTTGAATGTATATAAGGCCTAGCACGGTTTTGATAATTCGTAAAAATAATTGAGTTTTAAATTTGGGGGGGGCGGCCCTGGGCCACATTAAATCTAAGGGGGGCCATAAATATAATAGATATAAATATTATTTCTCATAAAAAATTGTGTTGATCATTACACTTTTCAATAAGTTATAGCATTTTAAAGTTAAAAATGTAAAAAATAAAATCGAGAAATTTCAAACAAAAATAGCATTTGGTAGCCATTTTTTTCGTGAAGACAAAATAAAGTCCGAAATTCTTTATTTCCATAATAAAGTTAATTACATTAGCTTTATTTAAGATATATATAAAAGGGTCAGACTTTCTGGAACAATTTCAAAAGTGAAGTTAAATAAGTTAATTTTTTGTGAACAAATTGTCATTATAAATCCTGTGGACAGGTAAAGGGTTAAATTTATAAAAAAAATATACAAAATGATAGGTAAAGACATCAAGCATCTATAAAAAAAAAAAATTATATTGATATGTTCATTTTTGAAAAAGTTACGGCAGTTTTTAGTAAAAAAAATTGAAAAAATTTCGAAAATTAGCGATTTTTAAATTTGTAGTTTTTTTGGAGGTTTGCCCCATTTATGAGGAACGAGGGAAAATTTTTAAGGGTAATGTCTTCGATTAGATACAATTTGTGATGTTTTGACGTATCGTTGAAAGAAATCCGTTCAGTGTGAGCTGAGAAAAAGTGGTAACAGCACAAAAACAAAACATATCATAGTAAAACCAATACCTTCTCAGCTTCGCATCAAAACTAAAATAACTCCGTAATATTTTAACTGTATTTATAGGATTTAATGTAAACTGTTTATCCTCTTCGGTCCTTAATGTTTATAAAGTTATGGTATAAAGTAAAACGTTAAAGCTGTGGCGTGTTGATGAAATTTAATATTAATATTAACTACCTAGTGTCTATTAATTTGTATTGTTACATTATGTAAACAATAATTATACTTAAACAATTTTAACAACATGAATTGACACCATTAAAATTGTATTATAAATATAGCATAAATAATAAACCCAGAAAATTTAAGAACAATATGAGGTGGTCGTGCAACCAATTCTGGATGATTTGGCATAGATTGACCCTAAGCTTATTATATATTTTAAAATAGACTACATGTCATATTTAAAGTTATAATAATTAATAATTCCCAAATATTTTCTATTATTATTAAATGAGATTACAAATTTTTCATTTATTAAATGATCATTTTGTATAATACAACAAAATAAAAGACAGCCTTCCTATTGCAAAGAAACCAAAAATGTAAACAATTCAAATTTTAAATCCCATTTACTATTTTTTTTTAAATAGTGCAGATAATTTTATTTGCTCATAAATACTTTAGATTTTAATTATGTACTAAAAAAATATTAAGTTTAAAGTCATGTTAGATTTTAATTTAAGCCAACTAATTTTTTTTTTTGTGTCTGTTACCACTTTTTCTCAGCTCTCACTGAACGGATTTCTTTCAACGATACGTCAAAAGATCACAAATTGTATCTAATCGAAGACATTACCCTTAAAAATTTTCCCTCGTTCCCCGTAAATGGGGCAAACCTCCAAAAAAACTACAAATTTAAAAATCGCTAATTTTCGAAATTTTTTCAATTTTTTTTACTAAAAACTGCCGTAACTTTTTCAAAAATGAACATATCAATATAATTTTTTTTTTTTATAGATGCTTGATGTCTTTACCTATCATTTTGTATATTTTTTTTATAAATTTAACCCTTTACCTGTCCACAGGATTTATAATGACAATTTGTTCACAAAAAATTAACTTATTTAACTTCACTTTTGAAAGTGTTCCAGAAAGTCTGACCCTTTTATATATATATCTTAAATAAAGCTAATGTAATTAACTTTATTATGGAAATAAAGAATTTCGGACTTTATTTTGTCTTCACGAAAAAAATGGCTACCAAATGATATTTTTGTGTGAAATTTCTCGATTTTATTTTTTACATTTTTAACTTTAAAATGTTATAACTTATTGAAAAGTGTAATAATCAACACAATTTTTTATGAGAAATAATATTTATATCTCTTTTTCATTCGACATACTTTATGTTAATCAGGATCCTTTTTCATTCAACATACTTTATATTAATCAGGATATTAATAAGGAATTAGCTGATCATGTAGCTTTTGGAATAATCCAATAATTTTTTTAAATGAAACACTATCTAAAAATTTGCATGGAAGCGTTTTTTTTTTATTCAACTATGCCTCGTCACCATTGTACCNAAAAACTATCTAGAAATTTGCATCGAAGCGTTTTTTTTTTATTCAACTTTGCCTCGTCACCATTGTACCGCGACCCCCTTGTTTTTTATAGTGATTTTAAAATGTGGTATTGTATAGTGTTTAATCTATGTTTCAACTAAATTTCAAATTTATAAAACAATTTTCTTGGGATTTAGAAGAGGCCTACAATGTTAGACATTTTATAAAAATATAATAAATAATTATTAAATTTATTGAATAAAATGTGTTATATTTTAGAAACAATTTCTATGAAATCAAGAATAGAAAATTTTTTGTATAAAATTATGTATAAACCAAAAAAATATAATTTAAATATTGGCTGAAAACAATCTATAGTGATTATTAAATAACATATTTTACTTTGAATTAATGAAAAAAGTTGTTTTAGCAACGTTATTTGTCGTTGGCCAATTAAGTCTTGTTTACTTTTTATTTAAGCCAATTAACATAAAAAAATATTTTTTACAATTGGCCAACAATTATTAAAATGTATGATAAAATGTAATTAATTTAAGTTACAAACCGTAACAGTATGTTAATTAAATAAAGCTACTGTCTATTCCTTAAAAATGAATTATATCTTAAAAACTATTTCTATAAATCAAAGAGTAGGCATATTTTTTATAACATTCATTCGATAATAACTTATTTCGGTCACTAAATTATAGTTGATTTTTATTCGGATGTATACGTGTACAATTCAAAAAAATATAATTTAAATATTGGCTAAAAACAATTTATGGCGATCGTGAATAAAATATTTACTTTTGAAATAATTTGTTTTAACAACGTTATTTGTCACTGGCCAAAAAAATCGGGAAAAAATTAGTATAAAAGATCTAGTAAACTAAAAATTCATTGGGACTTTTAGTCTAACCTGCGAACAAAGAACATATAAGCTCTTGTGGAAGCCATCTAGTCTATAAGTCTCAGTCGCGTCGAAATCAAATTTCAAAAATCTTGAAAACAACGCGACATTCGCAAGTCGAACATATTGACTATTTCCAAAAATAGCCATCGAATTCACCTGCAATAATTATGGCACTGTTAGAGAGAGGAGATCGGATCGTCATAAGATATTATGACTACTTGCAAAATTTAACCGTTATCAAAGTAAATGACAAGAATCGTGAACAGCCCGAAGAGTATCGCGTTAAACTTCAAGGAATAAGTGGAGAATTTTTTGACACGTCCTCGATGAATATCCTTACCAATGTCATCAAAAAGAAAGAAATATTTAACATCGTAAGTGAAAAAAAAATATGTGTACATAGCATAGATATTTATACTTATATTTTTAAAGGCACTCATTGACAAAAATGAACTCGTATTAACATATTCAACATCTAAACAATGTCTCAACACTCAGATTTGGAATGCTGAGAATTTGAAACCCAAAAACGTCGGCAATAAATATGAGAAGACTTATGCAAAGAAGAACGCATATAAACCTGGACTTAAGCCGAACAATTACGCAACATATAATGCCAAACGTTATACGGCCCAAGATAGACTTATGAAATACCGTAAAACTGAGGAGCTACAAATCGTTCATCAAACTAATAAATTCAAACAGCCCGAAAATAGACAACTGTACAACACCGATAATACACGTTATTCAGCTCAAGACCGACTTAAAAAATACAAGAACATCGTTACTTCAAAAGAACCGCAGCTTAAACAATATGACATTAAGACCACAGATATGAACCGATTTGAAATTGAAGAAAAATGTTGCAAAGAACAAAATCTCAGCACTGACATAACAGAAGACCCATGTACTAAGAAACGTACATTAAAACTAGGCGAGACGCAAAAAGTTAGTTATTTATATTTATCATACAAACAATCTATTATTACAATAATCTTTCCACAGATAATGATAGTTCAAAAACGAACGAAGACATGTTATCTGGTACACACGATGGAGAGTAGAAAGTCGGTAATCACCTTGTGTGATAAACTACGAAAAATTGAAAATAACTTAAAACGTATCGAGAAAGTTGAGAAGTACGACATGTGCTTGATATTTTTTGGCGCTGAATGGTACCGTGGGAAAATTATGGACGAGACGAACGATGGTATGTTGAAAATTTACTTGATTGACACAGCACAAGTGATGTTCTTTAATCGAAAAGAAGTCTACGAGATGCCAAAGCATTTCGAAGGAGAGTCATTATTAATTGAAATCGTCGTAACACCTCCGCCAAATGAAATGCTGACTACTGTTTTTGCTAACGTAGAAGCAATAAAAACTATTGGACCGAGTACGGTGGTGAAACTGATTTAATAACTTGCTATATTGCCTTATAACTCCTATTAATTTGCATTCGACAGTCAACGAATATTCCCTACAGAAGTTTACATGCTGACAATGATGTCTTTTTCCATTAAAAATACTCTTGTTTATTTATTATGAACTATTTTGCATTTTCATCCGACTTCTTTATTTATTGTTTATATATTTGTTATATTTATATGTTTGTTGTTACATTATTTAATTTTTCGTTTATTTGCTATATTGTTAAATTTTTTTGTTCAATTTTCTGTTTAATTTAAATAAAGCTGTTCGACACTTATAAAACATTGTTATCATTTAATTTTAACTTACTTATTTTGTACATCAATTAGTTAATACAATTGCAATTGTAAATTTTCCAAAAATTGCAGATCACTAGTTAATAATAGAGTATATGAAAATAATTTTACTCATATAGTTAATATAACTATGATTATATGTCTACAATGACTACTATTAATACTATGATGAGTTATAAATACAAATACATTTTATTAACAAATCGCCAATATCTCAATACATGAAAACTTAGATGTTACCGTCTTGATGGTCTACTAACTTGCAAGCCGACTTAACCTGTTAATCACATGGCGTATAAAACCTAATTAGAACAAATCTGCACACATAACTTTTATTTATAATATTTTCTATCTACTGGACTTAATACATTATTAACATAAATTGTGTAGTCATGCAATAAAACAAAGTGACACTAACCACATTGTCATATTTTGAATCCGAAAAAAATCATTAGTCAATTTAAGTATAAAAAATATTTATAAAAATATATCGAATATTAAAATAGGATATTATTATTTAACTAACAATTTAATATTACAAAAATAATAATTTTAAAGCATACATATATAAAAAAAATAAGTACAGTATAACTTCGATTAGCCGTCCCCATCGAGACCATGACTGTGATGGTTAACCAAATAGAAGATTAACAGAAATTTTGTAACAAACATATAAAAGACATTATAAATAAAACAAATTTATATTTTTTATACTAAAATATTCCAACAGTTTCAATATAAAGTATATTCATTTAAATTATAAAAAATAATCAATCATTTTGTTTGGTTTTTTCCAAGATTTTAAAACGACAATGCTGCGTATTTTACGTATATTCGTGGTATGTAAATATATGGTAAATTGGAGAATTCTTAATTAAAAATAATTTTTTCAATAAAGAGTATTCAGTGTTTTTGTAATTTATAGTATATTTTAGAATATATGATTATTTATACATATAAAAAAAAATGACAATGCAAAATATGAATATTTTAAGTCGTTGAACATCAACTTTGATTCTTTGAATTTTGAAATAATATATTATATTACAATATAATACAAGGAAACTATTTTGTTATAAATGCTACTCGTCTATNACAATACAAGGTAACTATTTTGTTATAAATGCTACTCGTCTATTAATGCTGTTCATAAAGAATTCATTATTATTCGATGAATATGATAAAATTCATGAATTGTAAAAGTAAAAGTAGACTAACACTGGTATAATGGTTGGTGTATTCAATAAAGAAAAATTTAATGAAAATAAGTTAAATCAAATAACAATTAAAATGTAAATTTATGAAAAAATTATGTTTTAGCTACTTTGAATATTTTTAGTAAAATCTTTTATATATAGAGAGAATCAAGATTGGAGCTTGTAAGCTAAACAGTAATACCTACACGACTAACTTTACAAGGATTCCGAGTTATAAAAATAATTTCAATTTAAGATAACAATGATTAAAAATTATTTTTAGTACATTTTTTTTTTAATTATTATAAAAATAATAAAATTTATTGGATAATTAAATCATACTACTAAACAAAATATATAGACTTGAATTAACAAAAGTATGTCCAATAAAAATACTAATAACAACTAAATAATGGTCAAGAATGCCAAAAGAAAATATGAGTAGGAGGTCTAAGATAATACATATGAATTCATAAATCATAATAGAAACAGAAACGTGTAAATTAAGACAGATCCAATTAATATGATATCAGCCTAATAAATTATCTTTTATTTACATACAGCATTTTGCACACATAAAGTTAAAACAGTGAGTGGTGATTTATAGCAATTGTATAGAATTAATTGTCTATAGACAGACTAGCATCAGAACGGCCTTTGTATTTTGTGAGTTCAATAACTACACTTGGTCGATGTAGTTTAAACATAATGCTCACATAGGCAGTATTTAAGAGTTCAATTCAGAACAAATTCACATATCAGATATTAACTGAATCAAATCATTTAAATAAAATAAATAACATTTATACATAATATTAAATAATTAATTTAATAATGTACCAACAGAATAAATAGGAGTGTAACGTGGACATGACAGATCCATCGCACGTGTCAGGGTAAAATGGACATGTCACCAATATCAATGAGTATCCTCTACATACTAGTAGAGGACCCATTAAGATGTTCACCATATCCACCCTGACCACACCCAAGGACCTGTCAGCTCACGGAAGATGAAGACAGAAAAATTAAAGAAACAGAAAGAATTGACCATATAACATAATATTGAAACCATAATTACAATCCATATAGTCATATATGATATGACCAATAGTCAACTAACTCATAAAAAACAATGAATTCATTTACATGTGCACACTGTGCAAGATAAAATATAAAAAAAAAACATAATATACAACATTACAATAATACGATGTTGAAATGTCCAAATGTCAATCTCTCTATCCTTTAAAAGTAATTTTAAAGATTTTACTTGTTCAAATAATTTTACAGTAGATGGCATCCTATTAAGTTATTAAAAGAAATGAACACTCGCCATAGTTATATATTTTTAATTAATTGGAACTTATAGTTAAATTAATTCATATTAACGTATACAAAAGAAATATTTTGGATTTAAGTTATGCGTTCATCCGTCGAACTTTTACTTTAGAAAATCGTAATACAATTTAAAAAATCATATTATTTACATTTTATCCGTTATTTTGTCCATTTCAATATTCAATTTTATTAATTTATAATTTATTTTTACGATTGATTATTAAAAATCATTTTTTTTTTCTTTTACAATTACTATACTTAAATATAAAAAGTAATTATAATGGTATGCTATATTTATGTTTAGTTCTTGAAGGTCATCTACAAATGAGTTAACCCCAAATTCTTTAAAGGTAAAAAATCTCGTTGTTTTTGGTCTATTATTAACTACACTGAAAAAAATCCTCCGGTAAAATTAATAATTATCAAAATACATCTGTGGCAGGCACGTAGACATGGGTGGGCCTGGCCCCCCTTAGATTTAATGTGGCCCAAGGCCGGCCCCCCCCAAATTTAAAACTCAATTATTTTTACGAATTATCAAAAACGTGCTAGGCCTTTTATACATTTAAATTATTATTAATTTGTGATTACTATTGAGTCACACAGTTATTATTATGGTTGTATTTTCACTTTTATATTCATAGAAAACGTTATTTGAAAAAGATAACGTTCTAGACGTAATAATAAATAGAATAGCAGTTACTCCAAACGTGGTTGAAGGTAAATTTTTTTTAACTCTGGTCCAAAAAATGATAACAAACTACCAAGTATCTGCAGTGATTAGAATGTAGTTGTTTACAAAATTCGATAGAGTATACTCTATGAAAATTTTTTTGATAAATCTTATCTTTAATTTGTTTCTTTTTTTATAATTTAGTAGTTACAATAGGTAATTTATTTGTTTTTGTTAATTTGTTATTTGCGTGCTCTAAATAATAGTAATAAAAATATGACTAAAAAAAGCAGGAATTGTTTTTAATTTTAAATAAAATAAATTTAACATTGTTTATAATTTTTATTTATTTTAAAAATTTTTATAACTTATTTGTTATTAGTAATAAGGTATAAATTATTTTTTCTTAATAGCTTAAAAGTTGAAAAATTAAATCAGCTTGGTTTTATGGTTTTACGATGATGTGTTTTTTTATATTTTTTTATGTCTGTTACCACATTTCTCAGTCTCACCAAACCGATTTCTTTAAATGATACGTCAAAAGATCACAAATCGTATGTAGTCGAAGACATTACCCTCAAAAATTTAAAAAATTTCCCTCGTTCCCCGTCAATGGGGGATACTCCCCAAAAAATTACAAATTTAAAAATCGCTAATTTTTTCAATTTTTTTTTACTTAAAATTGTTATATTTTTTTTTATAGATGCATGATATCGTTACTTCTCATTTGATATATTTTTTTATAAATCTGATCCTTTACCTGCCCACGGAGGGGATTTAAAATGACAAATTTTTCACGAAAAATTAACTTTTTCCACTTAAATTTTTAAAATGTCCCGGAAAGTCTGACACTTTTATCTAAATCTTAAATTAAAGATAATGTAATGTACTTTTTTATTTAAAAAAATTTCGGACTTTATTTTGTCTTCACGGGGAAAATAGCAACCAAATGCTATTTTTGTGTGAAAATTCTCGATTATGTATTCTACATTTTTAACTTCATAATGTAATAACTTTTTGAAAAATGTATGGATAAACACAATTTTTTATGAGAAATAATATATTTTAATAATCTCTTTTTCATTCGACATATACTTTATCTTAATCAGGATATTAATAAGGAACTAGCAGATCATGTAGCTTTGGAGTAATCAACCAATTTTTTAAAATTAAACACTATCTAAAGATTTGCATCGAAGCGTTTTTTTTTTTTTTATAGTGGTTTTAATCACTGTCAGATATCATTATACTTGATCCATCTATACCCCGTCACCACTGTGCCGCGAATCCCTTTGCTGGGTTTTTTTGTAATTAAAACTGCCATAACTTATTGAAATGTTAACAAATCAAAATAGTATAATTTTATATTGAAACCTTAGGTATTTTTCTTTCATTTGATAACATTTTTTTTTAAATTTAATCCTTTAATCGTCCATAGGGGAGTTAGTAAAATAGTATAATACTAATATAATTAATAATATAACGCTATATTTAGATAAGTGGTACTGTATATAAAAAATCAGAGGAAAAATGGATCAAATACGAGCCCTTAACCCAAAAGAAAACAAATTTATGTGTTTATTTATTCACAGATTTATTGTTTTTTCCATCTGTTCATAAAGTTGTTAACCTCCATGTTGCGCCATGACACTCCTAAATTAACGGTTGGCGTCAATAGCTTATAAGGATCATG